GGAAAGTTGTACCTCCAGTGGTGTACTCAAGGAAGATAAAACAACAAAATAAAATCAAGTGCTTCCCATTTGAAGAAAATAGTTGCCAAATCATGAGCTATGTTAAAAGAGCATGTCATGTTCTTCCACTTTGTCCTCTTAAACTACAAAACTGTCCAGTTTTCACCTTCAGAATTTCTCTCCCAGTCAGGACATGAAATATTTCTCCACTAAGAAGCCTGTGCCCTACAACCACCCCAGGAAAAGTTCTGTGGGTATCCTTTGAAAATGAAAGCATTGTTACAACATGCCACTGATCAAGAGGAAAGTGCCTTTGTGCTAAATGGTCCAACTGGTTATCTGTGGCCCCCAGGGGTGGCAGCTTTCATTTCTTAGCGCTAGTTCCCAAGCAAGATAGCCAGATATCATTTTGAAAGGAAACTGTGGTAATTAGTCCTACAGCTTAAATTGATAATTTCCCAAGCAAAAAAGGGTCATTTCAAAGACTGAGTTGAAGAAGTCAAAAGAACAACTTGTTGCTTCACAAATAACAAGGATGTTGGTATATTAATATAATTAATCTCTCAGGTACTATTAATATACTCTCATATTTTCATGAGGGAAGGAAAAACTAAGCAGTTTTCACCCTTAGGAAAGACCCAACATGTCAGACAACTGCCATTCTTTTTGTAATGGGGGCTGATGACCTATTAGAACTGAAGTGCTTGGCTTGGCCACTCCATGGGACAACCTTGCTTTCACTGAGACATTTGTAGTTTTGTTCCCTCTGCTTCCACATCTTATTAACCACATCTGATGCTGAATGAGAATGGGCTCATTCCAGGATAGGAAGCATCCTTTCAACTTTATACCAGTTTTCAGACCCCGGGAGACAGCTCAGTGGCACAGCAACTTTAAACAAGTTTATACAAACTTTCAAAGTTCAAAATGCATAAACAGATACTATGCAAGCATAAATAGGAATAATACTTAAGAAAGTGAAAAACAGGAGTGGAGAAAGAAAAAATACAATGAGGTTCAAGTATGTTGTTTTAAAACATGAAAATGGCAAAACACTGAACATTTTAAACTCTAAATGGTGATTTTACCGATGTGATCTTGAGTTTTCCTGAATGTTTAAAATAGTTCATAAACCTTTTAAAGGATTCAGTCTATATCTGTTTTCATGAGAAGCCACTTTGAAGATATCAATATGTAATACAACCACCATTGTTAATTCCCTACCACTTTGTTTGTAACTCTGTATTGTCTGTATTGTGCTTGTGATATGTTGTAAAATGTTGTATGTCTGTTAATGTTTCCCTCCTTTTATCTTTAAAATAAATAAAAAAAAAAAAGGATTCACTGGAGCCAAGTGTGGTGGCACATACCTGTAATTCCAGCACTCAGATAGCTAAAGCAGGATTCCTAGAGTTTGAGGCCAGCCTGGGCTATATAGTGAGTTCAAGGCCAACCTCAACTACCTTGTCTCAAAAGAAAAGAAAGAAAACAGAAGAAAAAAGAAAAGACAAGACTGGCATATTTTATAATTAGGAATCAAAGTTATCTGAGAACCACATTAATTTATTAAAAAGAAAAAAATATAAAACAAAAAGCTGTTCATTATCATCTGAGACTGATGAATTGAGTATTTTACATCCAGAGAACAGACTATACTTTCAGGAATCATTTCTACAGTGTGTTATGAGAACAGACTGATGCCTGGTTCATCCTGAAAATATTTTCATACTTTGTCCCTAACTCCATAGGCTAGCTATTATCTTCATGAGGAAAGTAAAATAAGGAAACTAAGACTCAAATTAATTTAGCTACTGGTACAAAGAATAAAGCAGTAAAGTCAAGATTCAAAGCCAGATTCAAAGGTTCAACTCTAAGATTCACAATGCCACATCACACTGCCCACCTAACTCAACAAACTAAGTAATTCTGGAAGCATTATTCTGGAAGATAGGCTAAGTGGTTGAGGACTGAAGATGTGACATGGTGCTAGGCATGGTCCTCTTTGGTTATAGAAGGTTCTCAGAAAGCTTCATGTCCAGACTGCTTGTCCTAGTGCCTAGCTAGTGGCAGTGCCTGCATTAACCAGTTAGGTGACTTCAGATATAAGAGCAACCACCAACCTTATCCTACAGGGTGGTGGCTATAAGGACCAAACATTGGCCAAGTTCTTCAAAACAAAATGTAGCCACATTATGGTATATAAGCATCTGTTGCACTATGCTCCAATTTTCTGTATACCTGTCAATTAGCCACACACTGTGCCCAAGATTCAAAACCCAATGTGAGAACTCATTTCTAAATTCCAATACTCACATGTCAGAGTATAACTAGGTGGCCATTAGACAAAAAATAAATTATGACCAAATTTTCATGCTATATTAAGTATATCAAACAGTATACTTATATAATCCAAATTGTATAAAATCTTAGGTACAGTACTAACTGGTCCGTCTTATTAAGGACCATCTTGGCAATAAATAAATACATAGTCACCTGCAGCCCTTCACTCTGGAACAGCCAATACTGCAAGAGCCCATGTAAGAAGCAGCTGACTTAAAAAACTTTCATCAGCCATCTGGAGTAACCGTCTACGTATCGCTTATGGTGCAAAATATGAAGTCACCACTTTCTGTCCACATAATGGTAAGCCCACGGTCAGACACCTCTTGGTCATGGTCATAGAATCCAGGCTTCAGATGTTCTAAGGTGTGACCTGGCACCCATTACTTCACTTACACCCCAAATACTCCTCCAAAGCAAATGTCAGGCGGCCATATGGTTTCTACTATAAGTTACATACATCAACTCAAAAAAATCTTCATATTTTTCCACCCAGATGTTTTCATGTGGTGAACAAAGCTTTTATTTATGGAGAAATAGTTCAGAAAATCTTGAAGGATAGATATACAATGTTAAAAAGTAGGTATCTCGTATAAAATGAGTAAATTCTGAAGACCTAATGTACAACATGGTGACTATAGTCAATAACGTACTATGAGCCTGAAATTTACTAAGTATATCTTAAGTTTTCTCACCATACAAACAAGAAGGGTAACTATATAGTGATAGGTATGTTAACTCACTTGCTGCTGGTAATCTTTCATGATGTACACATACACCAAAACATCACAATATCTAATTTTAGGTAAACTTAAGAATATCTGCATATTTTACTAAACATATGCACATACATGGATATACATGCATATATATACATGTATTATATAAATATGTACAGAACTTGTCAATTTTACTTGAGTGAAGCTGGAAAGTTTATTCCTTATAATAGGATTATAACATAATTCATTTCTGGTGTTTTATCTAAATTTTGCTACAGTAAGTATCAATTCTGTAATGAGTTAACATATGAACAAGGCCAAAGGTTACATCTAGTACACTGAAGTGTCTGCGTGCCAAATGACATTGCAAATTAATTTTAGAAAGAGACTATGTCACCAGGTGTGGTGGCTCACACCTGTAATCCTAGCACTTAGGAGGCTGAGGCAGGAGGACTGGCAGGAGTTGAAGCTAGCCTGGGCTACATAGTGAAGTCAAGGTCAGCCTGAACTACAGAGTGAGACTCTGTTTCAAAAAAAGCAAAGACTATGTCACTCAGCAATATTACAGTAGTCCAATTCCAATATTCACGTCAGAGTATACAAAAAGATGTTGTACCTGTTCCTGATATAAATAAGGGAGTAAGATGTGCACATACAAAAATGTCAAAGTGCCAAGCAGCAGAGTACTGCCAAAAGGCACAGAAGCAGGAGGCACTTCATAGCTCTGTTGAGAAAGGGCGTATGTATTTGTGAGCTGCAACAAGGATGAAGTGCTTCATGGAAAACGGGACTTTGTGCAGGAAACTGCAAGATTCAAATTAAAGCCTGAAGCAATTCAGAAAGAGGGAAAAGCCTAAGCAGACTGACGCTTGAGGACCAACAGCAGCCTCTGAACCATAGAGAAACAGCCTCTCAGGACACCAGAACCCCAGTCCTTTCTGGAAATGAAAAAGGCAAAATGATGGGAAGTATAGTACAACAGGAACAGAGAGCAGACCTGGAGCAAGGGAATTTGGGATGCACTAAGTTAACAAATTTGTAAGGGCTTTTTTAGTGCTGGAATTCTCCAAGCTCTCAGTAAGCTAATAGGCATGAAGTCCCTCAGGTGAGAGGACTAGTCTTACATGACCAGATTCCTTTCTTCACTGAAAATGAAAATGACTTAGGAAACACTAGTTTAACAAAGACAAAACAATGAAGCGCCTGAATGCCAAGACCAAATGGGTAGTTTGGCCTCAATCCTTGTAACAAAGCCTGGATTGCCCCAGAAGAAAGGTTGATCTGCTAATATATTTTTTAAGTTTCTACACAGTGAAACTCAAAACCAGATATTGTTGCCACTGTAACATTCCCATCTCATGTACTCAGAATTCCCCAGCAAAGGTCTGTTCCTACTCTGAGAACATTTACTATCAGTAGTCCATTCCCAATGATCTAAAGGCTCTGGAAGAAGTACGCCTTCTAAGGAAATTACTGAAGGGCTACCATGAAATGAAGAAGTAACAGAGGAGGATAAAGAGTTCTTTAAAAAATTAGCTACATACAGTAACAGATGGAGTGCTTCATGGAAAAGTGGGCCCTCAACAGGACCAGGCAAGACTCAAATTAAAACCTAAAAAAGTAATCTAAAAAGATGCCTCTTTGCTACTTGAGAGGCTGAAGCAGGAGGATCACAATTTGAAGCCTGCCCGGGCAACTTAGTTTCAAAAAAAAAATAAGATCTAGAGATGTAGTTTATGAGAGTGTTGCCTAGCATGTGTGATACCCTGAGTTCAACACCCAGCACTGCAATCAATTGAAGAAATCTTCCAAAAATCCTGAGCAACTGTTGCAAATTACAGGTGGCAATACATGTGTTGCAAAAATCAGTTCAGAGCACTATAACTGGCATTTAAAAGAAACACTCACACACCAGACACAGCACATACAAGAAGGGCAAACAATGTTTTATGAAACATTTATTTATATTTGTCATACATAGTATATTGACTTGTGTTCTGGACTGTAGTTCAAAATTTATTTCCTACATGGGTCAAAGATAACATGTTGGAAAATCACTCCTCTATAAGACAGAGGGCTTGGGCTGGAGGCTGCAGCATTCACTGCGAAGGCTGTGAGAACTGTAGCAGTAGGAAGGAAAGAAAATTAAACAGAAGTGAGACTTAAAAGAGTATGAATAAAGAAAACCAATGAAAATGCCAAGGTAACCACATCTGGGGAACTAGGGAGAAAGGTAGCTAGGAAAGAAATAGTAGTAGAAAGAAAAACAAAAAGCAAAAGAGAAAAGACAAAGAATATGAATAAATGAAAATGCCAAGGTAGCTATATGATCATAAATAAGTACACAGGGGAGACAGGGAGGTGCATCTGCTTTCAAGACAACCAGGGCCAGGGATATAGCTCAGCGGCGTAAGCGCCTGCCTGGCACGCACAAGGTCCTGAGTTTGATTCCCGGTACCAAAAAAAAAGAAGTCCAGAGGCCACCCAGATGGAACCCCCAAAAAGCTCTCCCACACTAAAAAAAGGTCCACAACATGGCTTTAATTTGGTCACTTTTAACAATACTGTATTAATTAGTTCAGTTATACAATGCTTTTAAATTTAAACTGTGTCCTCAACAAGGTGGTTGTGACATTTAAAAGCATAGAATCACACTAAAGAACCAATACCATCAGTTAGTCCCTGGTCATTTCATTATTTACCATCCCAAGGGCTTCATTCTGATTTAGCACTTGATGGATAAGTCCAGAACAGCCTGTCATTTGGCTCTCTGCATGTGGACAATGATTTCATCAGCACAGAGATGCATGAGCTTATGTGTGCTCCATGGCACTGGCACCACTAGGAGAGCATCATGCCAAAAGGTAAAAGGTACCCCAAGGCCGCCACACTCTGGGCCTGTCCTGACGGAGGCTGTACAGTTTGGCTGTAGAGCTCTGCTGATCCACCAAGGGGGCACATGGGAAATGGCTGAACGCCAGCATCTCACTTTATCCAGACTGAATCCCCAACATATATCAGAGCAGACTTAATTAAATGAGACAGAGTAGACTTTATAAGTAAAATGTCATCCTCCACACACCCATGATGAAAAGTTTTGTTTTACAGAAGCCATTTTATGAATAAATTACATTAATTACCAATACTTAAAAACATCCAATATTTAAGGTTTCTGAATTTCTGATTTATTAGGCAGCAGGGAAAAAAACGTCTAGATTATGCTACAAAAAGAGCCCAACTGCTCAGAAACAGCAACTGGGCTTGCTTGGGAGGAGGTGGGGAAATCCTTCAGACTACTGCACACGGACATAAAGACTTCTCACCCTAAGCAAGGTATTAAAAATACAAAGACAAATTTCTTATAAGACAGAAAACAGAAAAATTCACATACTAAACAACAGGCCCATAATAACTAGAATACATCCCTTAGGGGACAAGCATGTACTTGTAGGAAGCAAACAAAGCTTTCCATAGAGAAACCACTTTCACGAGACGATTAGGTGGACCTGCAATGAAGAAAATACATTTCAAAAGATGTGTTCAGACTTACACTGATTTTTCACTGAAATACTTTAAAAAATAAACACAAAATTCTCCTCTGTATCAAAAGAGTTTTTAAAAAATATACCATGGATAAAATAAATTTCAGTAAATATCTAAGTCCTATTCAGAGACATATACTTGCAAACAATATAAATTAAAAATAAAACATGACAACAAAAATACTATGTGGAATTATTTTGACTAGGCCAAGCTAAGTTCACATTCTGCTTTAAGGCATTATACTGAAATGAATCTCATTCTCACTATAATTTTTTTCTTTTTAACCTTAATCACCAGCGGCTGGACAACTGAAATGGACATGAGAACTATATAAATGTCAGAGAAATATGTAAACCTCATTAATGTTTCCAAAAATTCATTTAGAGATAGAAACAGGTCCAAATAGATGCCTGTCTAAATGTACTGCAATTACGTTACAATTATTTTTCCAAATACACAGATATGCTCTGTCTTTTCTCAGCTAATTACTGACTCAAACAATTTGCCCTTCTGGGATCAATTGTTTGCTAATAAATAATTGTTTACAGTCACAAAATGATGTTAGAAGGTTTTCTTATTAGTTTTCCTTCTGCACCCTAATAAGATTGAAACTAGCTGATTCCCAAGAGTCTAACCTTAACCTCGCTTTGTTTAACAGCCCAGGAAATGATGAACCATCTGCTTCAGAAAATAATGGACGGCCAAGAGGAAATATTGTTTAATTGTAGATTAACCTCCTCATGAGGCAGTCTGAAGCAGCTTTAGAATTGGCAACTATAACCAGCAAAAGAAATAAATGGCTCAAGAGCCTTTTCCTCTACCATTTAAGGTCCAGAAAGAATGCAAAGGGATTTTTATTACCTCTATTTATTTACAAACATTTATTTCCACAGCGGAAACAAAAATCAGCAAGGTCAAAACTGACTCTCAAAAGTAGTCACTGCCTTCTAATTTTGTTTGCCCAAATACCTTTAATGCAGCAAATCATCAAACCATGTCATGCACTTAAGTGTTTATTTTTTAAAAAAAAAATCAATGAAAACCTCTTTTCCAATATTTTCAAGTTCTTATAATATTAAGATTAGAATTTTCCCTGGTTTCTTTGTTAATAGTAATAAATCCACCATTGGGGAGTACGAATTGTTTTAATATCATCAACATGGCACTTAAGTAAATGAAATCTTGTCAAGTACATGGTGACCTACAAGTTCAAAAGAAAAAAAGAACAGCATGAGATCAAAATGGCCAGCCAGGACAAGAGATATAAAAGTGACAGATTAAATGCAAACAGCCTTTTATTCAATAGGCTTCACATGCTAAGACCTTTCTAAAGAAAACCCTGTACAAGCATGTATGATACTGAATATTTAATACTCTGCCCCCTTGCAGGGCCTCCATCAATTTAGCACGGGTATGATACCATTTTAATTCAAGGAAATACAGAAGTCCTCAAAACATTCAGTAATTCCACAAATATTTATTGAGGACTTCCTTCAAGAGCCTGGATGGGAGACAGGGAACAGAGACACTTAAGGGAAGACATTTTACAGTATAAAATGTGCCTCAGTATCAGTCTTCCCAGAAGCCTGGTAGAGGTAATTAAGCAGAAAGCCTTGTTCTGTCGGTACTGAAAAATGTAAATGGTTCCTCTCAGTCAACAGTTACAACCAAGAGCCAAAGACATCTATGAAAATTTCAAAACTAAGGAAATTCACTATTCTAGACGAGGCCATATCATTCTAGGTTCCCAGTATGACCTGAAGGTCATTCACCTTTTGTATAAATATTACAGAAACAACCTCTGTAGAGAGGAAAGATTTTTGTGCAGTTCAAATTCTTAAATATCTTAAATAGAATTTACTAAAATAAATTATTCTTGAATTCTCAACTTAATTTTGAAGCAATGAGCTAGTAATAACTCCAGATTTCAAATAATAGAGCCTATTCAAGAAGAATGAGAGTTTGACATTCTTCTCTACAAAACAACTAGGCACAATTTTATCCATCAGACGTCTATCAACCTACGGATATTGAAAGCTTGGGAGAACAAGATAAAATCAACTCCAAACCTACAGTCAGCTGTAATATCGAGCAGGCATCAACAATGCTATTCATGAATTTAGAAAAATTAATAAATCCTGGGTTGAATGCAAGAAAAGGCTCAAATACAGGTGAAGCATACTCACTTGGGTTTTGTTTCTGCATCTGTCACTTGGCGAATGAAGATACCATCTTCCGGATGCTCCGTGTCATCCATTTCATACATATATGATGATGCTATTGCAAGCGTAGTCCCATCATTGCTGAAGGCAAGTGATGCGATGCTGGTGGGGTACCGATGAAACTGGCACAGTCGCTTTTTGTTAAATGGATCCCAAATGTTTACAAATCCGTCAGAACCACCTGCAGTAATTTCAGAACAGTTCAAATGGTTCTTAGTATCAGATTCAAAAATAACTATTATCATAACAGCTAATTTCTAAGGTCACATAACTTACATTTTCCCCAAGAAGTATGTTTTCCCTATTTAAAAAAAAAGCATAAATTTTTAAAATAATTCTGCCTAAGCACCTATGGCATTCAAATAATTTTTACAATTCTCTAGTCTTAATAATTAGATATGGGTTAGCAGGGCATACTGTACCTGTGGCAAATGTATTGTGGATGTTATGAAAGGAAATGGCATTGACTGGGTAAATCTGCTCAATATTATTTTCTTTTAGTCTGTGACATTTGAAGGCATACTTCTTCTTCTGCACCTCAGGGCTGGGGTCCAAGTATTCAACTGCCACTCGGCCTTCAATAGAGCTTAATACATAACCCTGTCGAGAGGGAACCAGAGGACAAAAATGGTGAAATCCAGCTTCCAAAAACAAGGCACTGGTTCCCAAATTCAATCCACACTAAATAAATATGATTATTTCAGAAATAAAAAGAATTACAGCCACATTTTAACAAAGTGTTTAAGCTGTACTAACAGAACTATGACAACTCTAAGAATTTAGTTACAAGTATGAATACCTGTTTATGAGACATAAATCTACCACCTCTTGCTGGTACCAGTGCTTTAAACATTTCAATAAAAAATGTCTACTTATTTTATCACACCTGAACACGAATTTTTAAGCGTTTTAGTATCATTTATTCATTTCCTGTCCAGAAAAGGACTCAAATTTCTTCCCTCTGTTAAAATGTATTATTCTGTGTTCTAGGCCTCTTCATCTCTAACAACTGTAAGAACCGTTTCCTTCGCCAGGAGCATCAATAATCCAAATTGAGCTGAACACCAATCTTCCATCTCAGTCGTTCTGCCTCTCACATTTACTACAACTAGCTAGGTCTGCACATAACACAGACTTTTGGGAATGATCAAAAGTGGTTTCCGGTTTCAAACCTTTTTTCTTGCCTTTAAGTGACAACATGATTTAAAAAAAAGTAACAATTTGCTGAATATGAAATCTATGTTTTACATCTTCTTTTTTTAATCCTTCAACATATGCAAGTTATTTCCTAAAAACTGCTCTTAGAAAAAAAATTAGGTAAAACCCTATTTTAAACTTCCACTGTGAAGGAGAGACAGTCCTACAGAAATGTTTAGATATAAACATAATTTTTATACTGCAAGCATATTTTAATCACATACTGTATTTAAATATCTTTAATTTCACATAACTACAATTCCTATCGATAGAAATTTACGAATTGCTAAAAAAACTGTGATCATCATTTGAGATAAGGAGCCAACAGAAAACGTTTCAAATCCCACAGTCACTAAAGGGCAGCCATGACTTAACACATACATGCTGTTTTGAATGATTTTTCCTCTTAGAATATTCCTATTGCAGCTGAACATAACAGTAACTCTCCCTTACAACTTTTAAGGATTAAGAACAGGAGGCAGTGCACTAATAAATTTACTAATCTCTTTTAATGAAGATGGAAGGAGACCCACCCTGTACACCAAGAGTTACTCATTAGATGAGGAGCACTGCACTTTACTAACCTCAATGGAGTCTGCTTTTTTTTAAATCAAAGCTTTATTATCAGATAGAGAAAATAACTCTTATTATCAGGATTATAAAAAGGCAAAAAGAGAACAGCAAATTCTATAAGACTAAATTTCCAGACTTAAGTTTTAATTTACTGGTTTGTAAACTGAAATATCTGCCAAAGTCTTTGATAACTATAAACCTAACAAGCATCCTGGACTAGGATCAACAAATCAAGACTTTAATCCACTGAGTGATCCTCTGAAGGCGACTTAATTTCTCTGAACATGAAGCTCTTTTCTAAAACACGGGCTAATCTATTATCTTTTAACAAAAGTTACCAAAATACTAAATGAAAACATATTCAACAGCAAATTCGAAGTCTCTACTCAGAACAAAAACTTTAAAGGCAGTGGCCAAATCATTACACACGATCGTATTATTTTCAACTTCCAGAAAAGGAAAGGAAGGCTAGATCAGTACCTGCTTGTTGGGAAACGCTCGTATGCAGCGAGTCTGGTATTTCAGGCTGGATTCCCTGCGCTGCTGCACATAGCCCATGTTCCGTAAGTCCCACACTAACACTCTACGGCCTGCTGTGCCCACAATCAACCGGTCTCCAGACACTGAGAGTGTGTACACCTTTTAGGAGAGATCAGAACATGCTAAAAACCATCTACTTATGCAAATGGCATTTCCCGCCCAAATAAAGTCCATCTAATTATAACACCTTTAAAAAGTTAGCATGATCAGGTTCCCAAACACATGTACGCATTTTAAGACACTGCAGTTATTCAAACCAAGCAATTCACACAAAAAAAGAGCAAACGCAGGAGATTCTTAATACTTCACCACATGTCCTACAAAAGTACATTCTAATGCTATAGGAGTGCTTTTGAAAACCTAATTTTTTCTGGTGCTTTTGTTTTCTGTATTGAAAACTTAACTAAAATAACCAGTTTTCCCCAACCTGCTTGTTTCATTTAGAGACAATATAAAAGTGAAAAAAAAAAACTTCGAAAAAAAGACAAAGCCATAAAATTCAAGAACCCTTTCAGTAAACTGCTTTTCATAAAACAATCATTTTTAAAGTTATTTTTCTATGACTGCCTTTTGGAAGATTTCATTTTGCAACTCTAAAAAGCTTGACTTTTTCCCTGATCTTAGACTGAATAAGCCCTCTCAGGAAAAATGAGGGAACAATCATTACCTAGCTGTTTAACTGCTTTTGGTGGTACACAAATTCAAAATTTAAAGACAAGAGTAGTATTCTACCCTATGGTAAAGCTAATTCTCTCACTCTTATATCATACTAAAACATTCAAGACAAAAGTTCACCTTTAGGGAAAATTTTAAAAAGCACTGTACCCCCTAAAAGTGTCTATTATTTTTCCTTGTAATGCTTTTTGTGCAACATTGAAATTTCCACAAAAATTTTTTGTAATACATCTTAGAATTTCCTGCAAGCAAAACACCTAGTTTATCTGCAAGTATAATGCTATTTGTAGACCTGAGGTACCAACTTCATAAAAAAGGAAATACACAAACAACAAAAAAAAACAATTTCCTTGAACACTTAACATGTCATTTAAAAAGAAAACCTATAGCTGAAATCCATAATTGGTCATTTTCAATTAATAAGCAATTCTAATCTAACAATATTTTCAACCCTGAAGAATTACTATAAAAAGTGCAGTGGGGGCTGGGGAAGTAGCTCGGTGCTACAGCACTTGCCTAGCATGAGTGAAGCATTGGCTTTGATCCCCAGCACCACATGAAAAAGAAAGTAAAGAGGCACCATGCTATGGTAAGACATCTCTCTACACAAAGTAATTCACTAATCCATATGGTTAATAACTACTAGTATGTTAACTGCCAACCACCAGGAAAAAAACTTAAGTTAGGTTACCAGTGCCACAGAAGCAGTCCCTACAATCTAGTCTTAAAATTCAACTACTACGACCAAAGGAAATATAAGAACTTAAGAGACTGAAAGTAACAGATTTAGTGTGTGCAGATCTAAATATAAGAAATACTGTAAAATCTATCATAGTTTATTTTGGAAGCAAAATATTTCTAGAAAAATGAAGTTAGGCTAAGATGAATGAAGTACCAAACTTAAAAAATACAGAATGTGGAAAAAAATCAATTTATAATGGTACAATCATACCAAGAACTTTACCTTAAATCTTTACTATACAGGTGACATACAAGCTTCTAATACTGCTTTCTGTCGCCACTGATCGTAAATCAAGTGAAACCACTGTCATGCTACTGACTAGGTATATGCATTTATCAAAGAAAGTATTAAAAAAAATGACATAATGAACCTTGCTGAACCAATAAGCAGCTTGATTCAGTGTGGCTGTCCATTATATGATATTCTGTCAGCAATTTATCACAGTTCTTAACATGTTACATACAACCATAAATCAAAACTAGAAACAATGCAATTATTTTATTCTGAACAAAGGTCTTGCCAGGAATAGATTCAACTGTGATATGACAAAAATAATGGCTCTTTGGATGCACTACTGTATATAATGATGGCTAAGAGGAACTGAATAGTATATTTACACTGAGGAAACAGACTCAAGTGAAGGATACCTTGAAACTGCTTAAAACAATCAATCTTTAAAATTAACTACACCTGATAAGAGTTTGATGAGGCTACAACAAGAATGCTAAATTATACTTTCATAATACAGATCAAAAGGCTAAAATAAAAGTTTTAGTTTTAAAAAGTTCCACTCACTAATAACCTTCACACTCCCATCTCTCAGAACTTATATACAAGGTGTTATCAAAATATATAGTGAGGGGCTGGGGATTTAGCTCAGCGGCACAGCACCTGCCTGGCATGCACAAGGTCATGAGTTCAATTTCCGGTACCAGAAAAACAAAAACAAAAACAAAAACAAGAATTTATTATAGTAAAAGATACTGCCATTAATGCCCCACAAAATACTCCCTCTGCCTTCAAACAGTTATCCCACTGCTCTTGCCACTTTCTGAAGCAATTCTGAAAGCGCTCGCTCTCTCTTTGTCTTCAGGTGGGATAATGAAAACTACAACGAATGCTGCTGCTGCTGAGTGCCATCCAATAGAAGAGCAAGCTTGTAAAAACATTATGACACCTTCTCATCCATCTTATTTTCAACTGGCATCTAACACTGCAACTTCTGGCTCTTTCCAAAAGTCAAAATGACTGTGAACAGTGAATGTTTTGATCAATTCAGGACATCAAAGCAGCCATGATAGCACAACTAAAGACACTCATGAAAGAGGACTTCCAGAACTGCCTCAGAAAGACGCAAGACTGGAATACGTTTGACGCAAGGGGAGCTATTTTGAGGGGGATTATTTTGATAGTAATGCGGCTTTTAATGTAATACATTTTTTAATGTAAATATTCACTTTTTTAGTCAAACTTCATACACAAAAGGAGTGACTGAAAACCACAGTGATCTTAAAAAAAAAAAAAAAAATCACAGAAAGACACCTTGCCAAGAACAATGGATACAGGTTTCCAAACGTGGAAATATTTTGAGGAGGATTAATGTCAATGTGTTTTTCACCATATTAAATTTGGGTGGGCTTCTAGAGACAGGGTCTCTCTATGTAGTCAGGATGGCCTTTAACTTCCTACACAGCAAAAACTGGTCTCAACACTTGAACTCATAGCCACCTTCCTGCCTCAGCCTCCCAAGTAATGGGATTACAGGCATGTACCATCACAGCTGGCCGCAATAGTTTTTTTTTTTTAAGACCAGAATATATTGATTGAGGGAAAGAAAGACTCTGTCCAAGAGAGGGACAGAAGGGGGACCTGAATGGGTTGCCCTGAAATAAATTTTTTAATTTAAACATTTACTGTCTTTTCAATCATATTTGTGATCATACACAAACACACACAAGGAAAATGCCAGGGAATACAAGACATCTTTCTCATTAAATCTGAAATAATAACCCAATTTTACCATAGTCAACTCAAATGAAACCTTGGGGTCACAAATGAAAATGAGTGATGCTCCATCTTATTTTCTTGTCTGGTCACTTCAAACCCATTTTAAGATAATTGACATGTTTTTGCTAAATGACTTCTCTGAAAAGGTAGTGAGTGACTGCTCAGTCCTAAGATTTAAAGCATTAACAATACATACAAACATGTTCATTTATACTGGTACTCTCTAGTACAAGTGTAACAACTGACAGAAAAAAAGATGACTCAAATCCCAAAGTTAATTTCCTTTGTTTTAAAGCATTTCTACATAGCTAGGTTTATAAAATAGACAGTCAACCTTTAATCTCTAAATTAAACAGCATATTCACCAAACACACACCTAGATAAATGACCCCATGGACCATAATTCTTCTGATAAATACTAAGATCCTACCTTTTCAGGCTGAGAGAAGGTCCCAGCATTACACGGAGTTCTGGGATCCCATAATTTAACTGTCTGATCCCAACTTCCAGTAACCATCACATTGACTTCTGGACAGTATTCAACACATCTAATAGGGGCATCATGGGTTCCAACAAGATTTTCTATAGAAAAAAAAGGAAAGGAAAAAAAGCTTTACTCCTGCTACTAAACAAAGATTCCTCTACCTCCAAGAAACTGCATTCGGAAAAATCTATGACTACAAGAAGTTATCCATTCCTCTCTGTTCACCCTACAAAGTACAGTTTGATTTTTTAGCATGGCATGTATAAACACTACCCTGAATTTCACATCACATTAAATGGTGGCAGGTCTATTATCACCCCCTCGAGATTCTAGGCTTCTTACCACAGCTCATACCTCTGCATTCATCTATACAAGATCTGTCTGATACATGTCTGGTGTTCAAACAAAATCTGCTGAGTAGACAAATGTGTGGAAAACTCTACTCTTTTGGGTCTTGACAACACTTACCTTTCCATTTAACCAACACTTACAAGAAATTTATTTATGTGGTTACACAATTATGAGAGCTGAGGATGAAAAATTACCATCATTTGGTTCTCATAGCAAGTCAAATTTCCAGTATATAACTTCTTTCCTATCAATTTCAACTTCCACAATATTTCATTTATTCGTTCAACTACTAAATGTCTACTATGTGCCAAAATCGATACAACCTGCTAGGATACAAGAATAAATAGTATATGGTCTTGATTATCAAGAACATTACCTTTTTAAAAATCATTTGAAAAGCAGAGTACAGTGGTACCTCGGTTCACAAATTTCATTCATTCCACAAGCCTGGGGGAAATGGCCACTTTCATGTTCAGGCAAAGAAGATGGCTGTAGTCATGTTGTCACCCCATGCAGAGTTTTCAAACAAAAACAAAACTTTGCCAAACTGTTCACAAACAAAAGCATTTGTGAACCGACGTACTACTGTATCCCTCGAGGTGTGGCAATGAACTTCAGAGAAGAAGCAACTAATTTTCTTAAATCAGTCTAATAAAAAATCTTCCAAAGCTGGGTGTGGTGGCACATGCCTGAAATCCCAGTGCTTGGGAGGCTGAGGCAGGAGGACCACTGCGAGTTCGAGACCAGCCTGGGCTACAAAGTGGGCTCAAGGCCAGCCTGAACTGCATAGCAAGACTCTGTTTCAAAAAGACAAGAAAAAAATCTTATGTCTGCATTAACCAAGTTTTCAAAGATATAAGACTTAAACCTGCAGGCTAATTTATTACACAGGGCTAAATACTGGCAAAACCAAACACAAGCAATTAAGTTACATGAGAATGTGACTTTCATACAAAAGCTTCTTCTGATTAGAAGAGTGCACCATCCTCCCATCCATCCTTTTGCTATCCAATCTGGCCTCTCTATATAGTTATATCCCTACGCTCTACCATCTCTTTCAAGCATGCCTATGTCTAATGTAACGACATTCAGAGACCTCTGTGTATTTGGGTTCCCATTTCAATCTCTACTCTGCCTCAATGCTATAAAAACCCAAGTACATCATTTTACATCTGAGATTCTTAGAAATCACTTCCTTCCAAATGCAACTGACCCATATTCTACTGCTACATATACAAGCAGGACTGATATAAACATGGTTAGCTATTTTAGACTTTTTTTTTAACATACTTTCCTTCAGTTTAAACTAAATTAATTTCTGAAAGAGAATCCTAAAACACTAGCACTGTGCTGGAAAATCTTAATGAAAGCCAAACCACTACAAGATCCAGTTTTCTAAGGACAAGGTAAAGATCAAATAACTATTACTTCATGTAAACACTTAAGACAGTGATCAAAATGGGCTTTACTGCAAAAATGTTTTGTGATCAATGAACTAATGATTACCATTTAACAAAAGAATCCTAAGTTCACAACACTTTCACTTGCATCTATTCAACTTAGTCATCAAGTAATTCAGCACTTACTCTTCTTACACAAACAAATATACCTTAATATAGCCTTCATATACCAGCGAAGAAAAACTGGTAAAAATGTGATCATATTACCTTGATCAGTGTTCAAATCATGCATTTTCAATTGATGATCTAATCCCCCACTCCATGCATGTGTTGGATCCTATAAAATAAAGTTTTACAGAGCTTTAGATAACATTTCAAAATTCCCATTTCTCCAGCCAACTATTCAGTTCATCCTCAGGATAATATTCGCTTAGCACACCTACATAAAACACAAAAGAGCACACAAAAGTAATCAGCAGTTTAAGAGGTCTGCTTTATCCTGATGACTCCAGTATCTGAGAGCAAATTCGCATTGCTTTTAAACGCTCCTTTTAAATAACGCAGCCAAATTAGTCTTGCCGCAAATTTCACATACAAGTATCACATGTCCAGAAAGGTTACAGGATTACTCCATAAACCCGACCTACAGCAAACTGAGCTTGCATGTGTCCAATCCCAACACACACAGAATTCACAAAAACCATGCCTAGTTCAAGGCAGGTACACTATTCAACAGCTAAGGTGCCGCCCAAATAATTCCCCTTACAGAAGCCTCTAGCCAATACTAACAGTGCTGTGCTACTAACACGGTCTATCGTAATACAGTAAGAAGGCAGGCGCGATAACTGAGGCCACCTACATAGAACGCGCAGTCCAGGACCGCGCCAGTGTGCTGGTACTTGAGCCGCATGGAGTTGGCTGGCACATCGTAAAGGCGCACCGACGTGTCCCAGGAGGAGACCAGCAGGAACTGGGAGGTGTTGGGGCTGAACTTCACAGAGGAGATGCCATCCTCGGGCGGCTGGTTCAACTTGAACTCGTTAGAACCTGTCATCTGCAGAACACGCGCCGGGTGAGAGTTCCCAAAAGTGCGGAGGTCAGGGAAGGCTGGGCAAGCTGCCCGGCGAGTAGGTTGGGGACCTCACCAGGTAGAGGTGGGGAGAACGCGGGCGCGGAGTCTGCGCCTGCGCAGAGCCTGAACCCGCCAGGGTCCAGACTCGCCCAGCCCCTCCCGTCCCCTGCCACGCCCCAACCCGCCCGGCCCAAGGGACCCAAGCCCCGCACCCTCTCCGCACCTCTCCGCACCTCCGCACCCTCGCCGCCTACCTGTCCACCCTCAGTCCTATCCCTCCCCTGCCCCGGGCCCATGAAATAATAAAGGAAAAATCGATAAAAGCGAGTCCACCCCCGCCCCGCGCACGCACGGCTGTGCCTGCTGCGGAAGCGGGAAGTCTGAGGAGAGTCTCCCCTGCGCCCCGTCGCCTCGCCCCACTACCTTGGCCTCCCCACAAAAGCAAACGTCTCAGTCTCTAGCACCCGCCGCCACCTCCTCGGTTCTCTCGGAACACTCTCCCTCTGGGAGACGGAGGCGAAGAGGAAGTTCCAGCACAGGCCTGCCATTGGTTGGTTTCAAACGCCAACGGCTAACTCTAGGCAGCCGATTGGTCCTGTCGGTTGCCGGCCTCGGTCAAGGCAGTCATCCTGTTCCGGCTCAAAGGGAAACCGCGGTTTTCCGATCACGTGGTCGCAACACGCTCCGAATGGAGGCAGCCTGCTCAAACTGGAGGAGCAGAAACTCCAACTCCCAAGAAGCATCTCGCCAAGGCTGCGCTCACGCCTGCCCGCGCCCCCACGTTGCACGATGGGAGGTGTAGTTTCCACCCTAACCCTACGCCCTACTTGTCCTCCAAATAGTAGGCGGGAAAGACAAGCCTTCCAGCTCTGCGCGTGGCACTTTCCCGCAGCCTCTCACACGCAAGAAGCCCATCTTGATCAATACTCCTACAAAGCTCAATTTTTTCTTTTCTTCTCTGGGCGTACATATGCTCGTGAAACAAACCAAAAATTGAAGTAGGAAAGGAATTATTTGCTCTACTCAATTGTATTATTTTGCCTTGATTTCTTTCTCAATTTCCTGCAGTTTTGACCTATGAAGGAGGGACTCACATTTCCCATTGTGTTAAATTCTGCTGATCTCAGAGAAACTCGTCCTTATTTCTATTATACTTTGTCTCTCCACCCCATCTTTCCACATTTATTGGGCATCCATGATGCCAGGCCTAATTAGAGGTTCTAGGAAGATCCACTTAGTCAGACTAGTCTTTGCCCTGAAGGAACTCCATGTCCAGGAGGGTGTACAGACTGAGAAACAAATATTCTGGAATGCGTTAAATTCAAACAAGTTCTTTTAGAGATACATTCATCATGGAACCCTAAGATGATAGTGAGAAACTTCTCCCCTTCCATCTTACCCTCCATCAGTTACACTTTATCACTCTCGAGTCCTCCAGGAATACAAAGATCAAGAAAGTTGCTTCGTTAGAGAAGTGATTTTATCTCCATGAAAGAAACACAATTCTTAATGAATAGAACAGTGACTGAATTGCTCTTGGACCTCAAAGTCTTACTGGAAATTTTCAATTTAATTCATACTATAACCTCTTTTTTTAACTGCCTTTTTAGAGAAAAAGCCTTATTTTGTAGGAAGTGGGAGGCAAAGGTTGAGGTTAAAGTGTTTAACTTGGAAAGTGTATTAACAGGAGAAAGTTGTGGATCTGTATGCATTCACACGTTCTGAATGGGATGCTCTTCTGATTCCTGACAATAAACATACACACAACAACCCTTCTACCTATTGCACTGATTACATTATTGCTAAAAGAGCCTTGTATTCGGTTTGTATTCAGTTCTGTCTCTTCTCTTGTAACAAGTTGATGTCCAAGTCGAAAATTTTTAAATGCAGTGCCTTATTTCCATTCTAACTTTAGCTAAATAATTTTATCTCGTGACTTATTTGGTTCCCTCTCCCAGTTGTTTATTTAATTCTATTAGTGTTTTGAGATTCTGAGCATAAATTACCCACTAATAAAATAAAAGTGTATTTCATTATACAGTGTGTGTATGATTCAGGTCCCTCTGGGAATGCAGTTGCAGCTCAACTCGATTTGAGTTTTAAGAAACGTCAATCTTTTAAATCCAGTTTAGAGCCTGAAAGGAGACTGATGATTTTGCTGATTATTCAAATGAATTGATAGGGTCAAAATAGAAAATCTGGCAACAATGGATTCTTGGACATTTTAAATCGAAATGCAGCAGCTGTATGTGTGTGGAGGGGGGGGTCTTGTAATGGTTACCTGTAAGAGAAATTCCTAGGAACTAATTACATTATTGGATCACTTGTGACTTTCTAATTTCTTTTTCTAAAAAAGGTGAGATATATACACTATCTAACACAAACTGGGAAAGGATCCTTCCCTAAATCTAAGAATAAACTCTATCACTAAATGCCTATATTACTAGAGGAAACTCCTTCCTACAACAGAAGCAAGCCTAAAGTGAATTTGACTCAATACTATTAAAACCATCATCAAACCATAATGCAAACAAATATGATATGGATGGACTATCCTTACACAAGAAGTTAATCAGAAGTAATCTGATTGTTTCTGAATGGAATATTAAATAGCAACATTAGAGGGAAAGAATTTAGAAGGGTCATCTGAGGAAAAAATCTTCAGTGAAATGAAATATATGCACAGAATAAATTAAAAAACTGATCCATGTCACTTTTGTTCTCTCTCTGACCCCCAAAACTTAGTGTAGGTTCTCAACACACACTAGGATTCACTAAAATCAATGTGAACTTGGCTGAAGTGCAATAAATGCAACTGAACCAAGTACAATGGCATCTTTGGGTAACATCCTTCTGACTTGGAATAGTAGTGATTTTTCAAAGCTAATACAAGAAGAAAAAATTGGACAGTATCAGAGAATCTTTTTGGTCAGGCGTTTAACACAGAATAGTGTGGGTCAGGAAACGTTTACAGATAATCTGTATATTTCACAAAATGAAGATGTTTGATCCCTTTTAGCTCAAAGAGACAAGTCTCTCACCCAAATGTTTCCCTTCTAGAGGTTGAGCTCCGGCCTCTACACCGCAGACTCCCAGGTTTTTTGCACCAGCTTAGCGGGATACTGGCCTGAGGCTGGAGGTCTACGTGATGCTTCCTGGTGTTTCCATTTCCTACATTTTACAAGGAACAGGTGGGTACGATGTCACGGGAGAGAGGGGCTGCTGTTCGCATGACTCGAGCGCGCAGCTAATCTCTCCGTGCAGCGTCTTCTTAGCCCCAGTGAGGCGGCGGTATCTGGACACCGCAGTCCTTGGACGCCTTCGCCCGCGCATCACTGTTGAATACAGAAAGAGCGTGCTGGCCCGTCCTCTCCACATTAAGCCAAGCACAATATAAACTACTGTATTATTAACAAAAGAGTGTGGGGAAGCGCCTTTGCCTCCCGCGCCTTTTTTCCGACCTGGGATCCCTGCGTGCCTGGCTGCGTTCTGTTCCCGCTATGCGCAGGACGCGAAACTTTGCGTGGCTGTAAGCCGGTCGCGCCAGGCTCAGTGCCACAACTGGACGCTTTACCAGCTGACAGGCAGCGCCCCACCTGCCCCACGTCGGAGGAGAAGAGGCTCACGGCATAGTTTGAGCTACGTCCTGGCGTGCCCTGCTTCGGCCAAGCCCGCGGCGATACAGTGCAAGAAAGATGCTCTTTGCCCCTTGGCCCGGCTCATTCCCGGAAGGCAACTGCTTCAGCAGCATAAGCAGCCTTCCTGCCTTTGTCTTTCCGGGCGGGCGCGGGCTCAGGAGCCATATCCACCCGGAGTGCGCCCCAGCCCTCTCAAAGAGTATAGAGACTAGAAATAGGGATTGGGGCGTGCGCAGCCCAAGTGCGGCCAGAGCTGTGCTAATGTTCTGACCATTAACCCTTGACCCAGGCCCCACCCTCCACGTGGCGCGACCCGGAGTTCTGCCTCTGAAAAGCTCGAAAGCCTCCTGAGTCTTATTATGCAGGATAATCAGTCCCTCCTTAGCAACGATGTTTAAAATGTTTTATTTTTTTTCTTTTAAAATATTTACAGATCTGAACTATCCCCCATTTCGTCCCTACCCATCCTCGGGATGAAGGAAACGAAAAGAAGTGATTAGATCAATGTCCAAATCCCCGGAGGGCTTGGTTTGGCCGATTGTGAGTGCGTATACATATATCCAGGTGTATATACGGGTAAGGAGTACATCTGGTTTTGTTTGTGTTTTCTGATATTTTTCCCCACTAACCAAAGCTGATCTGGCCAAAACTCCCTTTCCCGCCATGATCCGAGAATATCCCCCTCCAAAAATGGTTTTCAAAACGCATTGGTTTGGTTTAGGTGGAAAGCAGGCGATCTGGCTTGAGGAATGCTGATAAATACCCGAACAAAACAAAAAAAGTAGGGCAGAGCCCATAAATAAGAGATAATGAATACACATGGTGTATTTCTTAATATTTCTGGAAACACGCCCTTTTGCTCTGGAGCCCTGTGAAGGGCGCAAGCCGCACCAGGCAGGTGGCGGCGGGCGGCTCGCGGCCGGCGGGCAGGTCAGTAGTCGAGCTTGTTGTACAGGTTGTAGAGCGGTAAGGCGGAGAGGTTGCTGCTGGGGTAGTAGAGCGGTGCGGGGAAGGCGAGAGAGCGTGGCACCGGCACGCGCAGCAGCGAGCTGTCCCGGAACACCAGCGGCATGCCCACCAGAGTCTGCGCCGACGCGTGCGCCATGTTGGCCGCCTCCAGCTCCGCCGAGAGTTGCCGCTTCCACTTGTTGCGGCGGTTCTGGAACCAAGTCTTGACCTGGGTCTCAGTGAGCTGCAGGCTGGAAGCGAGGCAGGCACGCTCCGAGCTGCTCAGGTAGCGCTTCATGTCAAAGGTGGACTCGAGCTGGTACACCTGGCTGCGCGAGAAGACGGTGCGCGTCTTCTTCTTGGCCGCTCCAGCCTGCCGCTCAGCGCCGCCGTCCCGCGGCCGCTCAGGCCCTGGCGAGGGCGAGCCTGAGGCCAAGAGCCTCTCTTTTTCCTCCTTAAAGTCCGAGTGTGAAGGGGAGAGAAAAGGCGTGCGATCGGAGCCTGCGGGCCCAGCGCCTCCGCTGCCCTTCGAGGTACCTGAGAACAGAAAGGAAGACCATGGTGTTCTAGAGTCTTGGAGACCCCCAGCTTTTCCCAGGACCAGGGGGTTAGCAGACGCCTGCAACCTCGGCCCCATTTCACCAACCCCTTACTCTCCTCCCTCTTGCTGCCACCCAAAGCCCTGCACCCACGTCTTTAAAAGCAACAGAAGAGGAAACCAGCTAATTTGAGGGTCTCTGCCCCCCCCCCGTGACAGAATAGGTGGCAGCAAGGGGAGGAGGTCTGGATTGAAAACATTAAGATCATTTAAAAGGAGATGATGCCTTGTAATAACTGAGCTGGAAGAGTTCTTGCAGCTTTATAGCGTGGCATCATTACACAGGCCATTTATTTGTAAATCTTGCTAAGGACTGACACAGGGCCCTCCTTTATCAAATGTTGC